TCCTAGTCCAACCACGATTCCCATCTCCAATGTGTATGATGAGTTCATGCTACTCTTTGATGAGCCAGAGAAAGATATCACATCTGAAGCAAAATAAGTTGACAACAAAGTAGACGAATTAAAGAAGATCATTGACGATGTTGCGAAAGACATGCACCAACAACCATCAACTGCGAACACCCCTCAAGTCACGAACACTACCTTCCAGGGGGAGAGTTCTAAACCTCAAAGTTCTAATACTCCATTGCAAGGGGAGGGTTTTACTTAAACCTTTTCTTATTATCCTCCTTTTGATAGGGAATGTTCGCCTCCTACAATGACTCACGAACCACTATTCGCAAGAGATGACTCAATTCCGAAAGTTGGGAAGTTCTCATCATTCGAGGGGGAGAATAAAGAAGTGAATAATGATTCGGATGTTCAATCAGAATTCGAAGAGGTAAATGTTGAACTGGATCCATCCTATGATCCCAATTATCCTCCTCTAACCAAACACACCAGAGATCACCCGAAAACCCAAGTTATTGGTTGATCATCTGCAGGTGTCTTACACGGTCTCAACTTAAAGCGAAACAAACTGCATTATTCTCTAAAGTGGAATTTTGTATGTTTAATTTGTTCGTATCGAAGATCGAACCCAAAACCGTCAACACTGCTCCTGATCATTCTGATTGGGTGCAAATTAATGCAAGATAAACTCAATCAGTTTGAATGTAACAAGGTTTAGAGGTTGATTCCCACTCCATCAGATGCATCAGTTGTTGGTTTGAAATGGGTATTTCGCAAAAAGATGGATAAAGAAGGGAACGTTATCAGGAACAAGACGAGACTAGTGGGCAAGGGGTATTGTCAGGAAGAGCCTATCGACTACGAAGAAACCTTCGCACATGTTACAAGGATGGAATTCATTCGTATTTTCCCGAAATACGTAGCACACAAAAACTTCGAGGTGTTTCAGATAGATGTTAAATGCACATTCTTGAATGGAGAATTATAAGAAAGTGTATACGTAGCACAAACACCTAGGTTTGTTAATGAAAAGTATCCTAATCACTGCTACATTTATCATAAGCTAGTCTACGGACTAAAGCAAGCTCCGAGAGCTTGGTATGAAACTCTCACTCGTTTCCTTAAAATGTCTAAATTTAAATAAGGTTCGGTTGACCCAACCTTCTTCGCAAGTAAGAGGGTGACCACTTCCTGATCATCCAAATTTACATTGATGAAATCATCTTCGGTTATACTAATCCCAGCTTAACATTTGAATTCTGAAAGTTGATGGAAGCTAAATTTGAGATGAGCTCCATGGGTCTTATTAACTTTTTCCTTGGATTGAATATAAGACAGAGACCGGAAGGTATTTTCATAAATCAAGAAGCATATACAAAGACTTTGCTCTCTAAGTTTGGCATGGTGGGAAACTCTAAGGTGAAGGTTCCAATGGCATTTGGAATGAAACTCAAACCATCTCTGGAAAAATCAGTTGCTGGTATGACCCTTTATTGTCATATGATTGGTTCTTTGATGTATCTTACAGCTAGTAGACCAGATATTATGTTTTTCGTTTGTTATTATGCAAGGTTCCAAGCAAAACCTCACGAACCTCACATGGTGACAATCAAGAATATTTTCAGATACCTAAAACGAACTTCATATTTAGGTATTTGGTATCATGCGAAATCAGGCTTCTTCGAATAAGCATTTCGGATGCTGACCTTGGGGGATTTGGATTAGATAGAAAAAGAACCACTGGAGGATGCCAATTTCTCAATGACAAACTTGTCAGTTGGCAATCCAAGAAGCGAGCATGTGTGTCCTTGTCAACAGTTGAAGCTGAATATATTGTTGCTGTCTCATGTACATCTCAAGTCATTTTGATTCAAATTCAGCTTCGTGACTATGGCTTAAGCATGAGACGAATCTCATTATATTGTGACTCTAAAAGTGCCATTTGCATTTGTCACAACCCAGAGTAACACTCAAAGAAAAAAAACACATAGCACTAAGGTATCATTTCATCATGGATCACGCAGAAGACGGCAATGTTGAAATTCATTTTGTTAGATCCTCTGATCAGTTGGCTGACATATTCACAAAGGCCTTACCTGAAACAACCATCAATAGCATCCTTCAAGGCCTAGAAATGATGGAAGTTGAATCTATTCCAAAACCATTGTCACACACATAATGTCAAACACTGCGAATTGGTGCGAACGTTCGCAATAGTTCGTAGTCCATTGTTCAGTCACGGTCTACTTTAACACTTCGAATTGGTGCGAGCGTTCGTAGTAGTTCGCAGTCTACTGTTCATTCGTGGTTCAGAGTTTTCAAATATCGTTTTGTAATTTATGTATATTATTGCTTATCTTTATTTCATTTTTCAGTCTTTCCTGTTTTTAAATCTTTTTTTCGAAAATCACAAAAATATTTTATTTATGTTTGTTTTTTTTCTTTGTTTTTCACAAATTTCAAAATCATCAAAAATATCTTAAGAAGATCAGGGAGGCATAGATCCGTATCAAATCTCAATTCATGTTTAGGGGCCAATATAACTCTCTTTATTTATGTATTAGCTAAGTGTCCCTAGAAGCATGTTGTTGCATGTTGTCTGAAGCCTCAATAGACTCTATGTGAAGCTTTAATGAATCGAATCTACCATTCATTTCTTCCAAAGTAGGGTATTAATTTCACATTAGTCATGAGCTACCTTACTCTTCTCATCTAGAGTTAAGAGTTATCTACTTGGTCAAATTTGCATAGCAGAGGTACATTCACTTCTCTGGAACCACCTTCACTTTTCTCCATTTACCTTCTCACTCATAAATGTAACCCTTGAGATTCTCAGCAATACCACTGAGGTTTATGGTTACACATCTTCTGAGTTCATGATCTTAGCTTCATTCACCACGAACTGAGTGAAACCCAAAATCCAACACACTTACATGAATTAACGGTGACAATTAAACGTTCTAGATTTTCACCATGGAAATAACAAAAGCCACCTTCGTAGTTTGTACAAAGAAATCTCTTTTTCTGTTATGAGATCTTTATGAAGTGTTATTTTACCAAGTAACTTCTTTCCATAAGATCCATTTTTTTCTTTTTTTTTTGAGATCTCAAAGTTTCACTTAGTCACTAAAATAATTCCAAGCCTACTCGTTCCACCGACTACATTAGTCACACAAGTACTTCATCCAACATTCGTACTTATATGAAGTTCATTGTTTGGTTGGAGATTTAGCCAGCCACTTATCCAATTTAAAAGAGGCATTTCAATGTTTATTATCAAACATATGATCGTATTTCAATGGGAATCCACACAAACACTTTTTAGTCTCTCTAGATTTCGAAGGAAGAGATCTATGTCCGTGATCAATAGTTTTGTGTCTTTATATAGACATCAGGAAATTCCTCAGATATACTTTGATTCTTTTCTTTATCTTTGACACTCTTACACAAAGGTCCTTGAGATCTTCCAAAAGTCTTGTTCGTGGTTCTTAATGTTACTTTCAAGTTCGCAGTATAACCCAAGTTTTCTAAAAACGAATGTCCATGATAGATGAGTTAAAAAGCTTTTAATGCAAAAGGTGTATGATGACGTGGCAATTCCTAATGATAAGAATTCAAAAAGGCACATGAAAATTTGAACAGACAGCTACTTTTGCGTTGTATAACGCATGGGTCTGACACATCTACAATTGTCAAGTCGCGCTTTTTCAGGTGACGTTTCAGTACCCGATGCATTCTCTCTCCGGATTTTCCTCACAAATCGAATGGTATATAAAGGTTTTGACGGTTCCTCACTCATTATCACTTTCAAAATCCTCTCACAAAGATTTTCGGAACTCAAAGATTCAACTATTCATCTTCCCTCTAAAGCATCATAAATGGCTACTTCATCATCTGTCTGTGATCAAACCGTTCATTCTACTCTTCTGACTATAAAACCCAACCAGAAGTTGATCAACAATATGGAACTCTACAAGTATGAGCCCTATCTCTTGTCGATTGTCGACTGCCTCAAGTATTCTCAACTAGTTCAAGCTCTAACAAATATGGAGGATGTTCCGATGTCCCTACTGTCCAAGGCATACTCTTCTGCAAGTTACATCAAGGAGGAAAACAAAATCATCTTCGACATTCATGATCAGAAAACCTCAATTACAAAATCCACATTTTGTTCACTTCTAGGGCTTCCAAAATCTGAAGGAATGATCAACCTGGAATCCATCTCCAATGCTACTCTATTGGATATGTTGTATCAAATGGGGTAAAAGGAGACCCTATCTACTGTCTCAAATTTCCGAAAACCTAATCTACCCCTACAACAAAACGCTCTCTTTACTCTTCTTTTCAAACGTTTCTTAGAAAGGATTATTGGATCAGACTGTGTCAGTAAGTTGTTTTTAACTCTTTTCTATGGCATTTAGATAGGGTTGAATGTCGATTTTGGAGCGGTACTCTAGACTCAGGTGATACAGAGCACACACTTAATGACTCGTCACAGAGAAATTGCGTGTGCACGGTTCTGGTCCCTTATTTTTCGAAGCGCCATTGTCAAGAACAACATACCGATGATGCAAATTGTCGTTTACTGGATCCATTCTAGAGGCTATGTTTCGTGACGTGTCTGCCTCAAGCAAAATTCTGGAAGGTTTTCGCAAGCTTACTCCTTCGAGGTTTCATCCTTTTACTCTTAAAATGCAAGTGAAAATTGATGCAGTTGACAAACCCAGGAAAGGAGGGAAAGGTGCTAAAAGGGGAGAAAAGAAATCTATTGATAAAGAAAGACCTTCTGGGCATGTGAACACACCAAAGAAGCGAAAAGCAAAAAACCGCTTCTTTTACTGCTGCACCAAAAAGACGAAAGGAACCTGCTTACAAGAGAAAATCTACTACTCCATCTAGTGAAGACGAAATCTTGGAGTCTAAAACTCAGTCAGACGTTCATAACGAGGAATACCAACCTGTTCGCAACGAGGAGGAAGAGCACGTTCACAATGAAGAAGATCAAGTTCGCAATAAGGAGCCTCCTATTCGCAACGAAGGAGAGACTACAAACCCTGAGGTAACCCAAACCTTCAATGACTCTGTTCCTTATCTTTCTCCTTCTCCTAAAACTACTACTACACCTATTACTATTGCACCCTTTCCTCTACCCATTTCTTCATCACAACAAACCAGTATTCCTCTTTCTACTCCAAACTTCACTGATTCCACAATCTCACCCACTACTTTAGGCTTGTCAACCCATTTTCACCTAGCATCTCTCATATCCTCACTGATGATCCAGACATGATATTTGTGGACGATGATGATAATGATGATCTTGGCGGATTCACCTACAGTCCATTTAAGATAAGGACTGAAAGTGAAGATGAAGTTGTTATCACGAAAGGGCAGCTTCAGCCCCTTCATGAGAAGATTGAGCAGCTTCTTTTCTCTTCCAAGGCTTCATATTTTGAAGCTTATTCCAAAGCAACGGTTGAATCTCTATTTGAACGCATAACGAAGGAACATGCAGATGATGTTGCGAAGATGAACAAGGTAGTGACTGATTATGCCGAAGTTTGCAAGACAACGACTAAAAAATTCGATAAACTAATTTCTGACACAACTTCATTTATGGAAGCTTACCAATCCATCAACAACACCAACGTCGTCTCTACGAATGTAGCTCTATAGAATTTGGGCTCCATGTTTAAAGTGGAGAAGGATAACTAGAAAAATCTTCGCAAAGGCTTACAAAAGGATCATGAAACATTTCAAACCTCCATCACTTCGCAAATCACAAAACATCAAGATGATTTGGGGATGGAGAGTAAGGTCATGGATGGTCTTGCTGTGAAAACGGAGAAGGTCGAAGTACTGGGTCTTAAACTGGAAAATGCTGAGAAAAAGGTTAAGCATTTGTTATCTGAGAGGGCAGTCATGTGAAGCTACATTTCTGATGTTACAGGCTTAGTCTCAGATATCATTGATACCAAGGACTCGATGATTACTATCACAGTTCGGAAGCATTTAGCTGAAAAGTTTCGTCCTGTATTTGTTATGCTTCACCGACTGGAGGGTGTTTCGCCTCAAAACTCTGATCTAAAACAAGGGGGAGAAGGTGGATCTGGAGTGTCAAGAAATGAACCTCCTAAAGACCTAGCCAAACCTATTGTCCAGAAATATCCTAAGGGCAAGGAAAAACTGATTGGTCAAGAGACCATAATTGACAATGACGAAGATGAAGAGCCTGATGAAGCTAAGCTTAAAAGGTTGAAGGCTTGTGATGCAAAGTTAAATGAAAATCAACGTATCGTCAATGAGGCTGAGGAGAAAGAAAGGGATGAAAAAAGAAGCTCAAGCTACACTCAAAAGCAAAATGCTCTTATTTCCCAAGTGGACCCTGAAGCGAATCCAACATGATGTTATAGATTTGCCCAGCCAGTATTGGTTGAATCCGATTGCATCCTTTGATCTTCAAAATTCTCAGGATTTATAACTGGATCTTCCCATTACTCTTAAGGCTTTCAGGTTTCGTGCTTTCATGAAGGCTGTGAATGCTCCTATCACAGACAGCGGTGCTGATCACATGTTTTTCTCCTTCTACTTGAAGCACATGAAGCCCTAATATGAAACTTGGTGTGCAAACAAAATTGTTGTTGTGAAAGTCGTTAGGCCAATCGACACTGATAGCTTTCCCAACGTGAAGTTTAAAGTAGCGAGAGGTTCGAATAGTCAGGTATATGAATTCACACTTGCACACTTGCTCTAGTAGAATCCTTATGGTTGGATCATGCTTTACAACTTGTTGATGAGAGAGAAAGAGAAGTATGAACATGTTATGTCCCATCTCCAACTGATGATCAAGTCCTACATTCAAGAAGTTTGTGAGATGGATGTGGATATTGCCACCGTTTTGAGGAAAAAAGCCTACTACAGTTCCCAAGGAAGCTCCGAAAGACTTTGAAAGACTAAATCCAGGAAAGATATATAAGGACGGATGGTCTGTGGTGTATCAGTCTAGAGAAAGAACTAGAGCTGACTTTCGCAAGTCTTGTTTTTTTCTCGATGACAAACATTTGCACACTTCTTCTTTTCTGGAATTTATATTGGACTTGCTTACCAAAGTGCAAGGGAAACCACAAGGACGACATCAAGTGCTTCTCGTATATGATTTTGTGGTATATCCAGGTTCACAAAGTGTTGTTGAGCTTCATTCCTAAAATCTATGAAGTACAGAAGCACATCAGTGCTTGATTGACTATAGCCCCAATTGACACAATGGGGGAGATTGTTAAGTATTTAGATGTTATGTAATTGGGATTTTATTTTAGTCTTTTGTATTAACGATTTGGGCCTGTCCACTCATCTTTATTTCTAGAGTTAGAGTGTTTATGGTGCATGCATGCATCTTATTATAGTTAACTCTGATTTTTTAGCTGTAACACTAATCATGCTTCTATAGTAGCATTTTTCATAGAGTTCTTCTGAGGCATAACTTTGAATCATTCAACATCATTTTGATTATCATTGTGTTCTTGCTTTTCCTATTTGAATCTAATTGATCTTAAAGGATTATCATCCGAACACCATTATACCATAATTAGGGTAAATGACCAATTGAACCTTACTTAGTTTGTACCATGACTTGAGCCCAAACCTAATAATCCAAAAGGCCCAAATACCATATTAGCCATCCAAGGCCATATTCATGGCTCAATTTTCCAAATTGAGCCCAAATCCTATTGTAGGCCTTCTCAAATAATTATCAACCCAAAACCTGATGGCCCAACAGGGCAAAAGATAACTAAGCCCAAAAGATGGTCCAAACCGAAGCCCAAACACCGAAGTTCAATCCTGCTGAGTACGTGGGGGCATACTCAGTTGTACTCTAAGCGTACATGTTTTAGAGCTTGTACACAACACATACGAGCTTGTTCGCCTAGCGTACTCACCCATTCAGTCAAATCTCATTTTTACACCTAAATTCGTTAAGACAATGTTCCAAAATGTAGATCTAACTTCCCTGAGCTGGATAATCATGTAAAGTTACTAACTTTATGCTCATGCATGGTTAAATGAGGCACTTAAAGCCTAAAAGGACTTATTAGATGACTTAATGCATGCATGTGACCATAAACCTCATAAAGCTAGCACATTTATACTTAAGAACCTCATAACAAACTCATATCTAAAAGAATAATCCCTTCAAACGTCTTAACTCATCAACCAACCCAAAAAGAGACCAAAAGCATAAAAATCAATACATAAAGAGATCTAAGCATTCAAAAGCCAAGGTATGAACTTGATACCTCAAGAGGCTTGCAAAATGAGGGAGGATTCTGGATCTAAAAACTTCACACCAAGCGATGAAACATCACGTTTCTTCAATTCCTTCAAAATGAGCAAAACAACACCAAATTCTCCTCAAGATCTCAAATACATATCAAATGATTCTAAGGGATGATTTCTAGGGTTTCAGGGGCTTGGAGGCTGGTAAAGAGGCCATCCCTAAAGACTTAAAGTGCTTATATATGGAATAACACCCTAAACTAGGGTTTCCACTAACTCCCCATACGCCTCGTGTAATCCTTGTACGCCGAGTGTACGAGGTCTCACATCCACAATCAGCCTTTTCTAGTACGCTAAGTGTACACCAGTCTACGCCTCGTGTACCGACCCTAGCACCGGTACGCCCTGCGTACTCCATAGGTACATCCCGCATACTAGGGTTTCCCATAAACCCTAATATACTCCAAAGGCCATAACTTCCACATTATAAATCTGATTTCAACGATCCTTATATCATGAAAAGGTAACGAGAATATACACTTTAATAAACTCATACTTGCCTTTTAATTTCGCAAACAAAAATCTAATTTCCATAAAAGCCCGAGCTGACATATTACCAAAATACCTGTTGGCTCCAAAATACAAATTGAATGCCTGGATCATCTAAATTACATCATCCACCTCCAAATAAGTCTAGATCTCAATTCCTCAAAGGTCCTGAGTCTGCTAATACTAGATTCTTGATTACCACCACGAAATGGGAAACGATTCGGAACTGTGCGTTATAATATGCATGTTCCTAACATGGCATGAGTGTTGTTTAATTCAATTGGTTAGTTAATTACTCGAAACATTATACAATGAATAAAGTCATAATTATTATGGTGATTAAATAATAGATATTATTTATATTCAATAGGTTTGAGACCATAGTTAATTAGTTTATTATTTTATTTCACTTTGCATGTTTTACTTCCTGGATGATTTGATTATTTAAATTCCTCTGTTACTCATACTTTTAGATGTAAGTAGTGAATTAATATTGTCATTATTTGAATAGTAGATTGTTTATGAAGATTAGACATTGCAATGGTTTCCAAAATGTTCATGAGTACTTAGAAAATGGAGATTTAAGTATTGGATAAACTCAGGCTGAAAGAATCACTTCATGGATTATATCATGAGTAATTGTGAGATGATGGTATCTTATATTCATGAAATGGAGATATATGAGTTGTAATTTACAAGTCAGTTGTGCATTGGTGTTATGAAAACACATCAGCAATGTGATATTATAAAACGTGGCATCATGCATGATTTGATGAGTAAAAGATACAACCATATAAGTTAATTTTTATTCATTCCTATTTTCCTAAAGGGAAAAGAGATACCTTTAGGTCCCTCGATGATTTGTTGTCGACATTTAAAGTGCTTGGGCGCGCCTGGACTGAATTAATGTGTTCAATTAGTAGTATGAATTCAGTCTTCATAAATCAGGAAATTAAGAAATCGAATCTAGGAATATGAGATTGATTCTAATCCATGTCTCATGCCCATACGATATCTTGAAGAGGGAAGGAATATTTGATCAGTTATCTTAGAGTAAATGACTGATTAAATCAGATTTTGGCAGTGGCTTTAGAAAGCACTCTTTGCTGTTTGGTTATAATTCTAATTGTAGATATAGACTTATCCAAGTGGGAGACTGTTGGATTAACGTGTCTAAGATCATAACTAAATTGGTATAAACTTGAAAATAGAATCAAAGTCCTTTTAGGTTGCCCTCATAACCAAAAATAGCTAGAAATAATAGTAAGAGAGAGTGAGAAATGTTTTGTTAATATATTGTAACATCCCAAAATCAAGACCCAACAATTTTTGTTTAATTATGCTACTTATAAAAATGGTTTACAGAAAACATCGTTGCTATCATTTCAAAACATCAAATCACAAATCACAAGTCTCAAAAACCATAACATCAAACAGTAAAATGTCAGAGTACAATCCCAGGGTTCTCAAAGCTGAAAATCATGTGTGTGTGATGCGCTACTACCCTGCCGGCTCCTTCCCCTTAGCTGAAGAGGTACCTGAAACCAAAACTAAAAACTGGAAGCACGAAGCTTAGTGAGTTCACCCATCATACCACATACCATAAAACATACATGTTGTTGGGAAATTCTAGGGTGTTGACTTACCTGTATCAGGACATTCTGGGGTGCTTGCCTACCTACCGCTTTATCTTACCCGGTCACGTGGACTATTTCACCCCCTACTACTATCACATAAAAACATATCTTAATCGTGATGTCAGACATATATGGGGTGTCCGGTACCCTTTGGTCCTAGCGACCAAATCGGAGGACTATTCCCTCCTACTACCACTATTATATAGAACATATCTTACTGGCACATAGAACACATCAAGTAATAGCAAACAAGACAATTATCACAAAGACAATCATCTCAGCTATAATCAACTACTAGTGGGTCGACCTTGGTGCCCTAGACCCACTTTTACTGGAAGTTAATTCACCTTATAAAACTGCGTGTCGAATCTTGCAAAAGAAATCTCTAACAGCTACTCCGATGACTCCCGGCTATAAATACTCACATTAACACTCAATTAGAGTCTATAACATTATTCAGGGTAAAATGACCATTTTACCCCTTGGTCTAATTAGGACATATATGAGTCCTAATTCTAGCTTATTAGACCTAACTCTCATATGGCCCATCAAAGATTCCCTAAGAGCCCACTAATTTCCCAACTTCTGAATTGGGCCTTCCCCGCCCCCCCCCCCAAATGGGATAATCCCCAAGGGTCCAATCTTGGCCCAAAAGGCCCAATACTCAAGTTCCAGATTCCTAAGTCCAAAGTTATACTTTACAGTGGGACATGGGGCCCAAAAGTCTAGGCCCATTCTCTAAAATCCCAAAAGCCCAACTTTTCCAATTAGCATGCGTACGTGTGGCGTACCTGGCACGTACGCCAAGCGTACCCTGTTCTTGACCAAAACGGGGAGTTGAACCAGTACATGCGGCGTACCAGGGAGTACGCCTAACGTATTGGCCAGCTTTCTTGGGACTTCATTTGAGGCTTAATTTGTTAAGTCTATACATCCAAAACATAG